CAACTTTTGCCGAGATGAAAACTGTCTTTTATACTTACTGTTGTTTAGTCTTCCTTTATATTGCAATATTCACAGTATAAAATAAAATAAATTTATAACTAGTTTTTTTTTTAAATATCAACAATTTAGTTGTTTAAAATTTTTCAGTTAATTTTACTGAAACTCTACCTTAAAAATGTATTTGCCTATTGAAGGAGTTAAAGTAATTGCTTAAGTTTTGAGGTAATATACCTCCTTTTTTCATGTGTTGAGCACGTCAGACGTGAATACAGCATGACAATATGAAAAATACAAATGAAAATATTGCCGCGTGGGTATTATAGTGACCAGCGGACATCTATTACGGACCTTTATATGATCGGCTCGGTGGGCACCGCCGCGCCGCACCGCGCGGAAGGTGAATAAAAACCTGGATATTTCTCATATTTATGTCCGTGCACTCGAAAATATTCCCCGAGTACGGTATACACGTGTAGGGAGATATAGGCCGTAAAGGTGTGCGCGGTAAGGGGTGTTATCGCGCGCAGGTGTAGGGAGCGTGGGAGCCACCACCTGGCGCGCCCCCTCTGCCTCTTCGCTGCCCTCCGCCCTCTCTGGCTCGTTAATGATGATGTGCTCAGCCAGCAGACTATTTCACTTCTGAATACATCTTTCTCACTTTTGATCCTCCGACCTGCTCGCTCTCGCGTGCCACCCTCGATTCGTCCCTGTCCCACTGAGCTCGCCCGGTCTCATCCGCCTAGTCAATTCGGCAAACGCGTATCTACTTTGTGTCGGAAATGTAATGGAACAAATGCGGCTGGAATTAACGTCGGAACGAATGTCGGAACACGGGGTCGTTCTCTCATCGGATATTTTCCACGCGATGATTTTGATGCGCATCTACACGGCGAAAACGTTTGTGGTCAAATACTTATCACGACACTGTGTGGATGTTGTTTACTTTTGTATTTATGAAGTATGTTTATTGTTTTGTAAGTTTTATTACACCAATGTGTTTTGAGAAATATAGACACGCAAATATTTATATTTTATAATTACTTAATAGACCAATCGTTCATCTACCAGTATGCAATTTACTTCCATTAGTTACATTGTCTCGTTACAATGTCCAAAAATCTAAATGTTTCGTATGCTAACATATAATATTTTATGATACCATTACTTAATCGTCATGTTTGCGGTTAATACTACGAAAGCTACGAGTCACGCTTAGTGGCTGATATCTTAATAATAAGACTTTCCTACTCTTTTCAATGCCAACTGTATTATGTACAAACGTATTTCTATACAAGTTATTAAGATTACGTTGGAACCAAAATCTTTTGGTAGCTCTTCCTCTACGCTTAGATTTTTTTCGTAGCACTCGGTCTACGTTCACCAAAGTCCTCGTTTCGTTCATAAAAATTGTCTTTTCTACGTTTTAAAAACCTATGAAACAACAATTCGTCTACCATAACAACATCTTCCGTAGCTTGGTAAATATGAATATTTTTTGTTGCTTTTCGTCTATTTAAGAGAATCTATCGAATCTTTGCACTGTGTGTAACATAGCTTGTCCCGACATAAATTTTTGCGTACCAGTAAGGGTCACGTATATTTAAATTATCTATATAGCATGTTAGCACAATAGCAGAACTCAAACGAATAGTTTATTAACAGCATTAAAGGACATTGTTCTTACAGTAAATTATTCATATTCATAAATTCGGTTCTGTATCTTGAAACATCTTCATATTTTATATTCGATTCACTTAGTACATGAGGTAACAATGTCTTGCGCTTGCTCGTCAGTCAATAAACCTTTTGACCATTCACCAATTCGGCTTCGTGAAGCTTTTGCCGGGCAGGCGGCAGCATCGGCGGCGGCCGGGATTATTGCGTCATTAATCACAACCCACATCTCTCGCCTCCGACCTGCTCGCTTGCTTTACCACAAGGGTTGGCTATTAATATATCGATAAAAAATAACTTTTATTTGAAAGTTCTTCTATAAAAAAGTTGCCCTATTTTATGGAACATACTATATTCATGGCATAAAAGCACGAAGAAAAAAGTTACACACAACAAACGATACTGTTCTTAAAGAATTTATGAAATTAGCATAATTAGTTTAGATTTTTCCCTTTTACTAAAAGTATGATTATGATCGATTAATTTTTGGATTTCACCATGTTATACAACAGAAAATATACCCTACTTTTGACAATTGAATTTATCGTTGTTTTTACGAAATATTTGTTGAACATCACTATAATATCGACCGCAGAGCTCAATTTACTCGGGCAACAAGATCGTATGTACTCTGTCCGACCCAACTCCCACCTCCTCAAGTCGCTGGTGTGGGCACGTTACAACACTAACGATTCGCCAACACCCCGTCTGTCTGAGACACCATAGCAAGCTAATACTTGTGAAAATAACACCGATGTAGTCATTGTAGTTAGACCTCCAGTTAAGTTATACATTTTACGTCATAATCATGCTGCTCTTGCTTATTACACACAACTAACTTACTTCATTTACTTGCTTACAACTAACTTGTAATCGAATCGTTTTGTCCATTTTTATGTTATTTGGCTTAAAATATCCAACCTAACTAGGTACAGAAAACTGACTACTGACTTCTAATACTGTCTGGAATCTTTAAAATATCAAATAATTAAAAAAAATAGTTTTAAAAATATAGTTGCATTTCAGGGGTGGTTGTTCTTTTTTCACCCCCAGGGCGCTATTAACTAAAAGATATAAATTGAAAAGAGAGAGAGAGAAGTTTTGTTTGCTTTCAATTTGTTGTAGCGAAGGGTTTTCTGGTGATGATGTTTGAAGTTAAATCTCCCTCCTAAACGCTTCAAATGTGATTCAAGGAGCGCCTTTTTACATCGGCTTTAGCTGAGACTCAAACGCTTGCGTATACGTTTTCACAAACACAATATCAAAACGTAGATGCAAATGTTTAAAAGATTTAATCTTTGCTGTTAAATTTAATATTGCTGTTGTAATATCCCAAAATCGAGACTCTAATAATGCGAATTTTAGAAATTGATTTTGATATTGTTTCCTCTGCTTTGTGTCCAATTATTTATATAAAAAATTAAATTACCTATTTATTTAACTTTTAATGTAGTAATAATTTTAATGGCTATCAGAACTACTACTTAAAGTTCATCTGTAAACGTCAGATACCTACATCGCACGATACGAAAAAACTTAATTTTCTCTTAATATAATTAAAATTTTGTCCATTAAATTCGCATTCGTAACTAACCCCTTGGCTTAGATGACCCCTAGGATAACATAATATTCAAATGTAACTTCTAAAGCCATATACTTTCGGATGAAAATTGAATGTAATCCATCTCTAGAGGGAGGCGTTGAAGCCGAGAAAAAAGCACGTGTTCTATTTGGGATTACACGCGCCCCATAAACAAAAGGTTAACATTATAGCTTCCGATACATGTAAGTATAGACTTTACGATGCAATTCATCGGTGTTTTATTGTTTTGTTTTGAAAGAAAACGTCTGTACTTTATTGTAAGTAAACACTGTTTATACTATTCAAATAAATTTAGACCTAAGGGTCAATTAGATAATTATATTTTTTTTTAATTTTCCTTGTGCAAACCCCATAAATACATTAAAAAAGACGATGGCCTTAAATAATTGACAAACAAATATCGAGACAAAGAGAAAATCAAAAGACCTTTCTACTGATGTTCGATACAAAAACTGCCTAAACCTATTGAGACCTGAAAAGTAATAGACAATCTTATCTTACATACGGCCCGTAGTTTTAGTAAGGGATCTGCGTTTAATAATCGTACACTATTTACTACAGACATGATTAGTAGAATTATTAAATGAAATTGTTACATAAATAACGTAACAGTATTTGTGAGTAAGCTATTAGGTATAACTACGACAGCAAGCTATATTTCCAAAGACACTAAACGCCCCGCAAGCCCAGAGCTGTGTAGATTTAAGCCGCTCGGCGTCCAGCGGCACTATTCAGCCGGTTTAAGCCGGGCGGCGGCCGGGCGACAGGGCGCGGGAACGCAGCGTATGCGCCGACATGTGCGGGCACAATGGCCGCATTCTCATGGACTCAGCCGCGGTAAGCTGATTGCGTGACGTCATTACAGAAACAATCCGGCATACACACTGGGGACTTTAGGAATAAAACTATCAATATTTTGTAAAAAAAAGAAAGTTTACATAGCTTTCTTTTAATCGAAGGTAAATATGTAAATTTAAACTTTTTTTATCGAAATGATTAGATTATTACGTAAATATAACGATATTTCGTTAAGCCGTTTTATAGTACGTTATTAAAGTTAATGGAAGTTACTATTGGTGTAGTACAATTTAGATGAAACTATATGATAACGATGACGATATGAATAAGTTTTGAAGAAAGTCTACATATGTAAGAGTAAACATCGTACTCGCGATGCTTAGATTGTGTGAATTTGGCCAAATAGAAATGTCTATCTATGTTCACTCCTTTGGGCTAGGTCCGGTACTTATTTTGATATGTTCATGCACACAGGGCTAATTGGCCATAACTACCGTCATCATCATAACTCAAAAAGAAAACAAAAAATATCAAACTAAAATCTCTTGAGTGTTTCGGAGAGCAAGCATTGAGAATAATTAAACGCAGTGTGCACACAGCCTAGGACGTAATACCGCCTATGGGTGAATGCGATCTCGGCTTACGGGGATCTGCAGCGAATAATCGGTTCACGACTCCATAATCCAGCGTGTAAAACATTGCTGGCGTTAGTAACTTTAAAACTACTTTTTTTAAATAAAATTTCACCTACTTTAGAAAAAAAGACACATTGAAAACATTGATGCATGTCAAATATATTTTTTTTAGAACTATTGACCGACGGAAATGGGACTTGAGCGAGCGATCCACGTGAGATTCTCGTTCCTAATATTAATATTTATAATTATTCAAGGTAGGTGTGACTCAAGATGTTAATTTTCCTTAGCCGTCCAACACGAGCGCGGTCCTCGCAAGCCGAAGCTGCACTCCGGCGGGCTGGGCGCGCTGGCACCGCCGCTCTCGCACGCGCACGCACATAAGCCACACGCACTCAAGCTGTCGCCGCCATCGCCGTACGCGCCGCTGCCGCAACCCTTCAACTTCCAAGTAACATATATACAGAACATTTATTTTATAGCAGTAGCACAACGAAAGTATATTTAATCATTGAAATTATAACGATAGTTCAGCCTAAGTGGCGTGAGCGAGCCGGCACCTCTGAGCGCGGCGTCGTCGGCAGGTTCCAGCGCCGCTGGTGGGGGCGGAGGCGCAGGGGCAGCAAGCCCGCTGCCGCTGCTCGCCGAGCCCTTCCTCACGCCGCCACCCGGCCTGCTGCACATGCTTATGTCATCCGATAAATGCCAAGTAAGAAAGATTAACTGTTATAGACTCAAAGACAGTTTAACATAGATAGAAATAAAAACAGCTGATAAGGTAGCTCATTTATAGGAACCCCAACTTACAAAATATTGGCGCGAAGAAAAGTAGCGTGAGCTATGTATCATTGGATTAGTTTTATACCTAATGTGAAGTGACGAATCATTAAGGTATCAAAATAACGCATTTAAATAAAAGGAAAGAGGATTAGGAATGAAAATTAGACGATAATTTTCAAAGTTAATTTTTCTTATGTGGTTTTCGCTTAAGGAACTGATGTGGAGCGCAAAGCAGTTGCAACTACAAGGTGACCCAACACTACTGCGGCCGCCGCCCAGTCCATTCGGAGCGCCACTTGCCCCCACTTGGGAACTTTTACAAGTAACTAATTCTCTGTTTAGTAATAAGATAAACTTTAAGACAAAGCGATGGTCTAATGAATTATCGGAAAATTTGATTTTAACTTAAATATCGTTATTTAATTCTAAGAAAATCAATTGTAGCTACTACATAAACATAGGGCTGTAAAATAGCTTAAGCAAAAAATGTCACTTATATAGAATGTGAAATAAGTAAGGGGTGTGTACTGCTCGGTGGCTTTTTGGCCGCAAGGGCGGCGCGGACTCGCGATTGGGCGGCTCGAGGGTGACTTTTCGCCTTCACTTGACTTACCCCGCCCCTCGGCTCGCGATACCAACTGTGACAACACGATACACGCCTACAGATATCATTCTTTACATTATATACAATAAACCTTGAAACCTAGATATTTTTAAAACGATTTTTAAATCAATATCAAGTGTTAGCTTCTCTCATTTGTTTTTTGAAATTAAATATCAATAAGTGTAGCTACGTAGATTATCGTTTGTAATTCCAAATAACAGTAATAGTAAGGCCGCGGCGTGCGCAGTACAGTATCTATTAAAAATTTAACTAATGAATAGAATAGATACAAAGAGTTAACCTATATACGTTGTTTTTAGGAAACAAGCGCACGATTGCTGTTCATGGCGGTCCGGTGGGTGCGATGCCTGGCACCGTTTCAAGCACTAGCGCCGGGTGATCAGCTGGTACTCCTGCGAGCGGCGTGGAAGGAGCTTTTCCTTCTGCACCTAGCGCAATGGGCGGCGCCCTGGGATCTCGCCCCGTTGCTCGCCGCGCCCGTAGCAAGGACTCGCTTACCCCCAGACCCACTCGCGGACTTGGAGCTAAATACCTTACAGGTGATCACATCGTAAATATCTTGCCTATAAGATATATTACAATGTAGTAAATACTATATAGAGTTAAGCGATTCATGCGATAATGTTCCCCTGTACCAATAAAACAGTAATATGAGTTTACTGTTTTATTATGAGTTATGAGACATATTGTTTTATCGTGTAACACGAATAGACATTTAATATATTACAATTATCCGATTATTGCAATATTGGTGTATAACAGTTATGTAATTTTTTTAGGAAATCCTGTGTCGATTTCGTCAAATAGCGCCAGACGGCAGCGAGTGTGGCTGCATGAAAGCAATCGTTCTTTTTTCACCAGGTAAAATTTTTTCCTCTTACAAATATATTTTGTTTTATATCGTTCAATAATTAAACCAAATAAATTGATAACACATAAAAATAATAACACATTAAACGCAGACACGCCCGGCTTGAGCGAGACACAGCCTGTGGAGATGCTGCAAGATCAAGCACAATGCATATTGGCGGACTACGTTCGTACGCGATACACGCGACAACCAACGAGGTAAATCTTACAAGGCATTTTAAAAGATAGCATGATACTCTGTTTCTACCCACTACAATATACCTTTAACTCACTACTACTATCAACAGATCGTTCACATCTAGGCATAAGGCTTTATAGACACAATTAGAGCTCTTGAGCTTGCTGCCTAGGTCTAGGGTATTGCTGATTTATAATTGATAACATCATAGATTTATTCATTGGAAGATCTATAGCTTATATTCGTTGTGCGTAATAAAAAAAATGACCAATATTCGTCAGTTAAGAAAGCCATTCGTGCGCTGAATACTTTTGGAATATGGTCATTGAAAACTTATTTAATTTATTTTCTTAGGTTCGGACGACTGCTACTCTTGCTGCCGTCGCTTCGTGCGGTGCGAGCGCGATCTATTGAGCTGCTTCTGTTCCGTGAAACCGTGGGCGATGTGTCAGTGGCCACGCTGCTACACGACATGTACCGAATGCAGCCCGCCCCAGCGCCCGCGCCCGCTTTCCCACCCCCCACTATCACCGAACATTGCGCCTCACCATAATCATTTACAACTTTTTAGGTTAGGTGATAGTTATGAGTAAATCTATTAAAATTAACGACCTGCAGATCTGATCACGGTTCACATGGTTTAAGCAGATCAGTGAACCGGGTCGCAGCAGAATTTGTAACGAGCTCCGAACTGCGAGTCCCCAGGCAGGTCGCAGATCGGCGGCTCACATAGTTATTGTATATCGCAATGAGCTATTAATTTAGTTGCTGAAATGCAGCTCAACGATTCAAGTCTATGCGATCTGAACTTTTGAATCGGTTCGGCGCGGATTGACATACGTTTATCACAAAGGAAGAGTACTACTAGTCATTTGAAATTCAACAATCTAGATTTTTCCAAAAATTTTTTGGTTTTTGTTTCATTTATTACTTCGTTTGTATTATAAAAACTTTTTTGGTTAATAAGTCTGCCTTGCTTTTATAGAGCAATAAGTTAATCGTATTGTATTATATACTAGTCCAAAGTTCGATCTCTATCCTGCATCTAGTCAAAATTATACCTACGACAAACTCAGTCATGTAGTTGTAAGTTGCAGCATTATTATACATACTAAGATGTTTTAATCCATATCCATAATTTATTTTTAGATTAAAAAGTAGTTCTAGTCAATTTATTATTTATATGAAAATATACTAAGAAAACTTGTAATATATTGTAGATGGCTCCTAAATACGCAGTTTATATTACTATCAGAATTTGTTGAACTTTGTATAATTCCCGTGTTTATTGTCTTAGGGAACAGACATATCTCTACAATCTTGAATCATTGTAAAAATTATTGTGATTTATTAAAAAATTAAGAGTGTTATAAAGGGTAAAACCAATTAAACCTGTTAAAAATAATAAAAAAACAGTATGTTATTCAATCTTTTTATTTTTCAATAAAGGAAAGCAATCTTTCATAGATAATTGAAAGCTCAAACACTTGCAACACTGATAAAAAAAAATTACATTGCCAGATGTCTAAATCAAAATCCATAGTGTTGCTCTATATAAAAAATTAATAAATATTTTTTAAATAAATCCAAGTTAAGTAGATAAGTTTAAATTATTCATGGGAGTGATGGCTTCTACCGATGACAAGTCTACAACATCATCTTTGTCTTCCACTTGTGCTACTGTTGCTTGCACGGTTTCCTTTTTCGGCTCAGCTCTTGGAAAATCTATTTTACTCCAAGCACCAGGTTCCGCTTTCTTCAGTTTAATTTCAACTTTGGTGCCAAGCATTGAGGCACTACTTCTTTCTAGATCAATTACCTATGAAGGAAGAATTTTAAATTAAAAATGAACTACAATAGTATAATAAAAAGAATAACATAACAACACTAAAATAGGCCTTATCAGAGTTATCTTTTTTTTAGCAAAGTAGTCAATTAGAGATCCATTAACAAATTGAGCTTCACATATTTGTTAACATCTTACTATATTATATATGCCAATGTTTAGATGGATGGATGGATGTTTGTTTGAAGATATCTCCAGAACGACTCAACAGATCGTAATGAAATTTGGCATACATATAGAACATAATCTGGAAAAACACATAGTCAACTGGTTATCTTTTTGTAAAACGCATGCAGACGGAGTCGCGGGCGACAGCTTTTAATTATAAAAGTGATCTTACCCCTCTTAATTCAAGATCCAATTCAAACACCGCACTCCCTTCTTGATGGAACACCAATTTTGTGTTTAATCTTATTGGATTCAATTTAACATAGCTTTCAACGGGATCATATTTCTTTGCATATACACTTACAATTACATATTCTGGTGTCTGATGCCAGTCCCAACGACACTTTACTGTACCTGCAGTTGTTGTCTGAAATATAATACAAAAGATTTAAAACAATGTACTATAAACATCCAAACATTACTTTTGTAACTAGGCTTTACATTTTGGTACCATTTTATCTGACAACTGAACTTATTTTCAGTTTTACTTATGATACTCATATTTACATGCATATTTACTTTTCATTTCCGAATGTGCTTTTACATTTTAGTTGTGTTACACTAAACCAACTATCTATAAATTAATTTTAGTTTATTCCTCATGTAACTAACCTCTTTAAACCATTTGTGTGATCCAGTTGTGCATCCAGGTTGTGCTAAGAATGTGTTGAAATCTGTTGTTCGTTTTTGACAACATGACCAGAACTTAAGACCTTCATGGAAGATAGGACAGCCGGGGTGAAATGTACACATTGTGTCATTTGTCTGTGGTCCTTCATATGCAATGTTACATCCAGCATTCTTACAAGTTGTACCTATTGCTATTGTTCTGCAAGAAAAGTTTACCCGTGAATGATTTTTAATTTTGTTTACAATTTAATTTCAGATTAAATTTTGATAAGTGTAGTTAATGAAAGATCCTTATTCATTTATTACTAACAAGCTCTTACCCACAACTTCATCCATGGGTAATTTATAAAATACACATCTTTCATCTTTATGATAAGAGTATAGAAAAGGCAATATTAATCAATTTTAAAAGTTACTTCCTACTTAGGTAATTTTTTTTTTGGAAGTATAAAAACTCTGTGTACCACAGTTTACATGCTGTAAGTTTTAAAAATGGTATGGTCTTGATTCGATGAATAGAAAAGGCGAATTATAATAGATAATTACCCATCTGATTCTACTACTGATTTCTGCGCAGTTTGCTGAATCATATTTTTCAGAGATTCTGCAATTTGTGGTTTCAGAGTGACTAAAGGTGTCTCAAATGAAGGCCTAGGCAATTGCGGGCCCAATACTGGTGCTCTGACTTCAATCACTTCTTTTTTCTCTAATTCCTTATCTAATACTTTCTTCTCAGGTTCTGGTGGTTTCTACAGAAAATGAAGAATGAATAACATCAGTATTTTTTTTAACAAATAATATCATTTGTAATTTTACTAAATTTACATATTATAACGCGAACTTACCACATTAGAATGTTTTGACAAAGTACAACCTTTTATATTAAGAAATTCAGTGAAATCAACACTTTTCTTATTGCAACAAGACCATCCTTTATATGCATCATGAAATACTGGGGCACCAGGATGGTGACAGCATACATCTGAAACATAAATTAGCCTTGTCTAATAGAGGTTATAACAAAAATTAAACCATAGTAAACAAATCAATTCATAAATTCTGGAACCGACAGTTCTAGAAAAATCTTACCTTTATCGTTTTCATTCAGATCAAAAAGTTGACCACATCCACGATTATAACATTGGACTAAATTTTTATTTTCAGGCATTTTTATATTACACTTAAATAATTGAGAAGTAAAAAATGCGTCTAAATAAAAATAACGATCGAATTCACGCTCTTTCGCGAAATTTCACGTTTTCTATCTTGTTGACAATGACAATGTGATTGACAAATGTCAAGTACACACAAAGAGTAGCCACAGTCACAGAACATATTCGTTCAACGACAAAGAGTATATAAAATTCAACGACTGCAAATCTATACAGAGTTCAGCGAATATTTTCGCTATCTCTACACATGGATAGGCTACAATGGGTGGGTTTTGTGCCTATTTGATTTTCGCCATTTTGATGTGATCTGAAAGATCAGTGTGAGTTTTATTATCTACCCCCCACCTACACAGCAAAGTTTTTGTATTGACAGATTTGCGAATGTATAGGTTTGCAGTATGTAATATAAAACGCAAAGTAGAAAAATTAGAAAAATAATTACTGAAAGATATTTATGCTTTTCATTAAGTTTTTAATTAAGTGAGCGGTATTGTCGTCACGTAATGTAAAACGTTAGTGAAAATGTGTTTTTATTAGAAAAAAATGTCAAATATGTGCGTCGATATGTAGCACCATGCACAAATGAGTATTATTTGCTCGTATGTAATTTAATGAGGACAATGTTTTGATAAGCATTATTTAAAATTCACCAAGATGAATTTAATGCGCAAACTAAGGGGAGCTTCTGCCTCCTCCTCTACTGAGACTCCAGAAAGCTCCAACTCCTCGTCACACGTTCAACTTGGTCTTATGCACTTAAAAAAACTCTTTGCGGAGTACACCCACCCACCACAAACACTCTCTGAAGCTGAAAAGGATGACAAACTGTACAACATGCTACCACTCTTCTGCAAGGTAAAAATACAATCTTTATACTTTTAACTCTAAATACATCAAGTGTTTTATAAGAAAAGTTGAATGTAAGTTATTGTTGAATAGAAATTCATACAATCATATCTTTGTTCATCTATATAAATGCAGGTGTTTGGAACAAGTCCTTCGAGTGAAATGAATGAAAAATTCTGGGATATACTATCATTTTGTCAGCAAGTTTCAAAACTTATGGTATCAGAAATAAGAAAAAGAGCTAGCAATCAGAGCACTGTGGCAGCTAGTTGCGCTATTGCAAAGTTTTTAGAGATAGAGAATTCTGAGGAATCTAGCAATGGATGGATGTTGCTCTCTACATTAAACCTTTTGGCAGCGGGAGATCAATCTTTGATACAGGTCAGAACACAATTTACAAAGCAGGATTCATTTATTTTAGAATTAATACTTTTTGGAAACATGAAAATTTATACACTGTTAATTTTTTCTCATAGTTTTATTTCAACATTTTGTAACATTTAACTTAAGAAAAAATAATGTAAAGTGTAAGTTATATAATCACATAAGTATTTATTCAGATAGTATTATATATTACATAAGACTCCTTTATGTTTTCTTTCTCTTTTTACACAATAATTTACTTTTATAGGTGATGACAACAGCAGCTATACCATCAACTTTAGTAAAATGTTTATATTTATTCTTTGATCTTCCGGAGATTCCTGATTCAGAAGCTGATATTCAGGATGTAAACAGTGATTTCACACCAAGAGAGAGAAGAATACTTTTACAAAAGATATTTGTGCAGGTAAGATACCTTTAAAATTGATTGAAAATAATTATTACTTAGGTTTGAAAATCCACTACATGTACTTGTTGAACTATAGTCCACTAGCTTACTGAGCTCCTGAAATTTATGATTATTATTATAGTACATACTAACACCTTTGACATAGTAGGTGTTAGCTATTGAGCCAATTGGCCTATGGAATTCATAGATTTGATTGGTAAAACAATCAATCCAATGAGAAACAATATAGTAAGCATTGGTGTCTGATAGTGCCTTAGTGTTTATACAAAATGTAAGTTGGCTT